TCTTGAATATTTCCTCTTTCTTTCTTTTCCTCTTACGGTGGGGTTTAAGTGGGCTGAGGAGGAAAGGTGGCAAGTACAAAATGTTAAACGAGCAGGTTCCCTTGTGTACAACACCTATCATCCCATTGGGGACCTCGGGAAAATGGGGTACAATTTACCCAACATTGTCACCTGATAGTGAAGCTGGGAGATGTAGTTACCAGTTCTCTTTTGTCTGGCACTGGCAGAGGCATTAGCTCCCTGGCAAGTGTGGCCCTCCCTGGCTGTGGGTCCAGCAAGTCCTTGTGGACAGAGAAGTCCCTCAGGAGCATAAAGATGGTGGAAGGAAGCTAAACCTCCTAAGGACAGGAGGAAAAACAGCAGGCTGTGTTCAATGGCAGCATTAATACCTAACTGGGGAAGAGGAACTTGGACCCACTGTCAGCCTGTTGGTCTCCTCCAGGAATGAGGGGTGCAGGAAGCCTGGGCAGAGGTGTTCCTTCCTACAGCTCTCTCTTGCAAGAAGTTTCCATATGGAACAGAGGAATGGGGTGAATCAGCTCTGTACATCTGTGTTGCAGTTTCCTTTGTCCATAGATGAGAATGTCGCCTATGTGATTCTTACACCAGTGTGCACAAAGGTTTAGCAGGTGGCAGGGACAGGTACTGGGTAGGGGAGCTTCTTGGATACTGCTCTTTATGCCCACGTAAGTGTACTGTGGTAGCAGGGACAGACCGTGGGCTTTGTGGGACTGTTGCACACTCCAAATGTCATACAGGGTCTCAGTGTTCTTGTGTCTGTCTGGCATGTGGAGGTCTCGGTGACCTGGAAATGGTTTTGTGGGCACCTCATTGGCTATGAGCCAGCCTTCCAGAAAAGCACCAGTGTCCTGTGTGTCTCACATGCTTGCCTGGTCTAGCCAGCTCCAAGTCTCGGCTCCACATCAGGGTCTAGTGGAAGCCCTGTTCACCTTGGATGTCACTGCCTGGTCTCCAGGTGCCAAGGACTTTGTTGTACTTATGAGGTGTTCATGAGCATTGGAAGAATTCTCCCCCAGCCATGGCAGGAGGGCTGGGCAGGGAGACTGCCTGGGCCCTGCGCTGTGTTTGTCTGAATAGTTTGGCACTTGGTCAGCCGCCCACCTGTTTGTGGAGTCTGTGACAGCATTGCCATAGCCCAGCTGGGCCATTGGAAGGAAACTGCGCCTGAGCTGGCACTACCCTGCCCCTCCCCAGGTGCTGACTGGCGTGGGGAAGGGGACATTCAGGTTCAGCCCTCGTCCTACTCAGCAGGTTGAGGGCCTGAGATGTCTTTTCAGTATCCTCAGTTTTCAACTGCATCACACTTGGACTTAGATGACAGAGCCAGAGGAAGGAGAGGTCAGTTTTCCCATTCCCGACAAAGGGCTAATTCTGCAGTTTGGCCGCAGCTCCTCCATTAGGTACAGGAGCTGAGGGCCCCACCTGAGTGCATCAGTGTTCTTTCCAGCCTGGCCCTGAGATTCTTTTTGTTTTTCTTCTTCGGCAGAAGGAACCCCTGGGGTTGAGAAAGTAGTGGGAGATGGCCAGAACAGAACAAAACAAAACAAAACGACCATTTCCTGGAGATCTTGCTTAAGAAGAAAGAAATCAAAGCTAAACCTTAATCTCAGTCGCAGATCATGGGGACAACATGACCTTAGCAGGCTCTGCAGCTTTTTTCTCTGCTGCTGGGGGCTTGGGTCTCTTTGAAGGACTGGTTGGGCCATCTCACAGTGGCTTATTTTTGAGGGATGCAGGATCCTCCTGGGAGGGAGCTCATTCAGGTGAAAGGGCCAGGCATAGCAGGCCCAGCCAGTAATGAGTATGGGATCCTGGATGAATTCTGACATCAGTCCAGTCACATCTGTTCTCAATCTGGCCACACATCAGCTGTGTCACCAAAGAGGAAAGGCTGCAAGTAAAAAAAGATATTTCTTAAAAATTCCAGTTATGGGCTGGGGATTTAGCTCAGTGGTTCCACCACGTGCCTGGCAAGTGCAAGGGCCCAAGTTCGATCCCCGGTACAAAAACAAAATTCCACTCATAACCTACAACTCACTAACGGAGTGACTTTGGGTATGTTAGATGTTCCTGGGGATTGTTATGAGGTCATAGGAATTAAGGTTTGGTGTAAGGGCTGCTTGTTAAATAAATGAGACCCGGAACACGTGTAGCACTGAGGACACAGGCGGCAGCACTTTGGCCCCAGGGACTGTGCAGGAGGCGGGGAGCAGCCAGCCCTCCCCAGGCTGTTCCACAAAGCACACCAGACTCCACTCCCCACAGGCAGGGTGGCCCTGGAGACACAGGAACACCTGGGGCTGGGAGCGGGCCCTGGGAGAGAGGCCTAGTCAGGTGCAGCCAGCCTGAGGGTTGGGTCCTCAGGGAAGTCCCATGTGGCTCCACCCACAGAGTCAGTTTCTTAGCAGCTGGAAGCACAGAGGGAGGTAAGGACTGTTTCCTTGTTTCAGATTCTTCCTGCTCCTCCTGTTATTTTATTCTATTTATTGTCTGATTTTATTTGTTCTGTGATAACAAAAACCCATAGACTGGGTGACTTATAAACAGCAGAAATTTATTTCCCACCATTCTGAAGGCCAGGAAGGCCAAGATGGGTCACCAGCAGATTCAGTGTCTGTTGAGGGCCCGCTTTCTGGCTCACAGATGGCACTTCACTCGGCGCAGAGACAGATGACCTTCTGTGGGCCTGTTTTATAAGGGCACTAATCTCATTGAGGAGGGCTTTGCTCTTGGGACCTAATCACTTCCCCTTTCAAAGCCCAACCTCCCCTTGATGGTTAAGACTTCGGTATGTGAACTTTAGGGGACACAAACTTTAAGATCACAACACTTAGTAAATTCCTCAGTTCTTTTCTGTTTCTATTTCTTTTGGACTGGGCTTTCTTCCATTTTTGTAAATCTGTTTTTTAATTTAAAACTTTTTGGTTAGTACAGTTTCCCATACATAATAAATACATTCATTGTAGAAAGTTGGTACATGTACACATCACATTTTAATCCTTTTTACTTCCCCTCCCTTCTCTCTACCTCTATCCCTAGATTCCCTTCCCATCTCCAAAAAGGTCTACCTCCCTGTTTATTATCATCTGTCTTTTATTTTGCTCTTTAGATTATTTATGCTTTGAATCTCTCATGTAAAAGAAAACCTGCAATATTTAACCTTCTATGTCTGGTTTATTTTACTTAGCATTATGGTCTCAAGATCCATCCATTTTCCTACAAATGACTCCTATTTATCCTCCTTTGTGGCCAAGTAGTTTTTCATTGCGTATATATAGCACATTTTCTTTATCTATTCATCTAGGATGGATACAGGGGGCTTCCAAAATTTAGCTATTATGAGTTGTTCTACTATAAACATGGGTATTCACGTATCACTGAAATATGATGCTTTTAACTCATTGGGGAAGATGCCCAGAAGAGGTGTAGATGAGTCAAATGGTTTCTAGTTTTCATTTTTTGAGGGACCACCGTACTGATTTCCATCTTGTTGTACTAGTTTACATCCCCCACCAACAATGTAGGTAATTCTTTTTTCTCCACAACTTTGCCAACACTTGTTGTTATTGGTTTTGTTTTGGTTTTACTTCTTGATGATAGCCATTCTTTCTGGAGTAAGATGGGATCACAGTATTGATTTAATTTAAAAGATGCTGAACATTTTTTCACATACCTGTTGGCCATTTGTACTTCTTTTGAGAAGTGTCTATTGATTTCATTGCCTATTTTTGACTGAGCCTTTTATTTTGGGTGTCTCATTGTTTTGAGTTCTTTATATATTCTAGATATTAGTCTTCTGCTTGAGGAGAGGCTGGAATGTTTTTTCTCTCACCCTGGAGGTTTTCTTTTCACTCTACTGATTGTTTCCTTTGCTTGTGCAGAGGATTTTAGTTTGATATAATTCAATTTGTTGATTCTGGATGTTTCTTTGCAGTTGGGATTCTGTTTAGAAAGTTCTTGCCTATATCTATATCTTTCAGAGTTTTACCTATTTAATCTAACAGCAGATTTTGTGTTTCTGTCTAGGTTTTGATCCATTTTATTTTATTGTAGGGCAAGAGATATTGGTCTAGATTCGTTTTTCTGCATGTCGATAACCAGTTTTCCCGGCACCATTTATGCGAGAGACTAGCTTTTCTTCAGCGTATGTTTTTGACCCTTTTGTCAAAGACCAGATAGTTGAATGTTCCTGACATTGTTTCTGCATTGCCAGTTCTGATTCATTGATTTGCCTGTCTGTTTTTGTCCATTACTATGTTGTTTTTATTATTATAGCTTTGTACTATAACTTGAAATCTGGGATTGTGATGCCTCCTATTTTGCTCTTGTTGCCCGAGATCGCTTTTGCTATTCTGGGTCTCTTCTGGTTCCATATAAATTTTAGGATGTTTTTTAGTACAGTGAAAAATGCTATTGGTATACTGACTGGCATTGCATTAAATCTCTATATTATTTTGGTAATGTGGCCATTTTGACAATATTGGTTCTGCCTATCCAGGATCAAGGGATTTATTTCCATGTTCTGATGTTCTCCTTGATCTCTTTTAGGATACTGTATTTTTAATTACAGAAATCTTTACTTCTTTGACTAGGTTAATTTCTAAGTATTTAATTTTTGAAGCTAGTGTGAATGGGATTGTTTTTCTAATTTCTTTCTTAGTAGATTCATTGTTGGTGTACCAGAATGCTATTGATTTTTCAGTGTTTATTTTGAATCCTGCTCCTTCTCTGAACTTATTTATTAGTGCTAGGAGTCTTTGGTGGAGTTTTCTGGGTGTTCTATGGAAAAGATCATGTCATCTACAAATAGTGATAGTTTGACTTCTGCCTTCCTGTACATATTCCTTTTACTTCTTTCTCTTGCCTCATTGCTCTGGCTGAAGTTTCAAATACCATATTAAAGAGGAGTGATGAGAGTGGACACCCTTGTCCTGGTTCTGATTTTAGAGGAAATGTTTTCAGTTTTTCCCCTACCATCTTTATAAATCTAAAACCTAAACCAGTGGACCTTCTCACAGGAAACAATATCAAATCCTCCATCTTACTAGTGAGAGTGGTTGTTAAAACTAACAAGAAGGCTTTAGGAAAAGTCATCATGGAAAGGTAATATTTTTGAAAAGGAGCTGTGATGGAAAGTTGAAAGGGAATGGAAGGGCACACTGCATCTGATGAGTGTTTAGAATCCCTCACTTTAAAAAGGGGCCAGAGCATGACTTAATATGAAGCTTCAGAACTGCTTCTGCTGGCTCCCTTGACTTTCATGCAGCTCCTCTCCATAACATGAGCTGAGAATTAGGGAAGGTAAAACAGAGAAAGCAAGATTTAGCCAATGTGGCTTTCCTGGGAAGAGGGTACTTCCTCCCCACAGCTGGCTGAGAGTCACTGCTGCTCTACAAGTGAGCAGAATATGGTGAGACTGAGAGAATTCTTGGGGGACCTGGTGTGTGTGCTGTGAATTTGGAGGCACCTATGAGCTTTGGGGCCCAAACCCAGAGATTTCTGAAGGCAGAAGGCTTGCTGGAATGGCTGGACAGAGGAGCAAGGTCCCTGTATGTCAGTTGTTTGGGGCCATAAGCTAGTTGGTAAAGTGAGGTAATAAATACTCCATCCAACAGGAGGCTAAGATACAGACCAATGTTGGCCTGAGGAGGACCTCAGGACAGAAGTGTGGCTTCACATACTTAAGACATCACTGCAGAATGAAGAAAGATGGTGACTGGGAGAAAATAAAACCTCGTCATACTCATACTCCACCTAGTCGAGATTCCTCAAGTCATTTTTTGCAGCCATGAACTCCAGAAACTTTCTTCTTCCATATAAAATCTAAAGAAACCTAGAAAATAGAGCAAGAGTGGTTGTCTTCTTTGGAGCAAAAATCTATATACTCTGAAACATTTTTCAATGCCCAGGTATGTGTTTCTCAAAGATTTGTTGTTTTATGATATATCTGTTTCCTAGTACTGCTGTAACAAATTACAACAACCTTAGTGACTTAAAGCAACACAAATCTTGTAGAAATCCAACATGGCTGCACTCCTTTCTGGAAGTTTGAGGGCCTGGGGGTGGGAATCTGTCTCCTCACCTTTTCCAGATTCTTGAGGCTGCCAACATTCCCTGGCTTGTGGTCCCTTCCTCCATTTTCAAAACCACCAATGGTAGGTTAAGTCCTTCTCATCATATCCCTGTGACTTTTCCTCTTCTGCCTTCTTCTTCCACTGTACGGACCCTTGTGATTACACTGGTCCCACCTGGATAATCCAGGATAATCTCTTGATCTTTTTTATTTTTGAATTTTTTTCAGTGCTAGAGATTGAAACCAGGGCCTATCACATGCTAGGCTAGTGCTCTACCACTGAGCTACATTCTCATCCTCTCCCAGTCTGACTGGCTAGTGACCTTCATTTTATCTGTAATCTTAATTCCCCCTTTCCATGCAACCTAATTTATTCAGTCTCTGGGGGAAGGACTTGGACAACACTGGAGAACTATTATTCTTCTACCACACATGGGTTGTATATGATTGAATTCAATTAACAAAATGCATGTAAACTTCACAATACCCAGTCAAGATTCAATCACATTCCATCACCTTGCCTCGCAGGAGTGTGGGAATCCAGGTTTACTGTGAACTGTGAAAAAAATAATAAGAAACTACTTGCTTTGGTCATGTCCAGAGGGCCAAACAAAAGTCATTCAATCCCATTTAGGCCCCCCAGAAAGAGGGACTGGAGGACATGCACCCTGCGCTCACCTCCAGAGGACAGGAGCCCCACCCCACCCCCAGCAGCTGCACCCTCTCAACTCATGTGCTCCACTGTCACCAGGAGTCATCCTTTACACTGGTAAGCATCTTCCACTGCAGGTACCTGGGTTCCAAAATCCAGTTTTGAGTGCTGCAAGTTTCTGCTGATTTAGGGAACCAGAAAGGTGGCAAAGTCCCTGTCAGTAGGTCCTGAGTGACGAGGCTCATCCTTCTCTGGGGTGGCACCTTCTGGTGAAGAGTGGCATCTGCAAGGGTGCCGAAGCCTGTGTTGGAAGAAGGGTGGGAGCCAAGCCCTCCTTGTCTTCAGGGAGGTCAGGGGTGGAAGGGCTCAAGGGACTAGGCCCAGCACTCTTCTCTGTGCCCCTGGGATGGGAGATGTAGGCGGGCTTTCTTACGCCTTTCCTGCATTTTGCCAGACTGCTGTCTAGTCCCCTCATATCCTGGGTCAGGATGCACTAACAATTGTCTGGCCTCCAGATGAAAAACTGGGATTCTGTGTGTCCCACATGGGCCAGGGTTGCTGGGTTTTATGAGCATCCTGGAGTGTTGAGGTGGGGTAAGGGTGTGGAAGAACAAGCCCTCTGTAGAGCTGAGGGTTCTCACCTTCAATAGGGGGTGCTAGCAGGCAAGGCTACCCTGGGGCAAGGCCGGGGGTGGGGGTGGGGGGAATAGCCCATGCGGCCAGGAAAGCTCCCCTCCCCGTGCTCGCTCTCCCAGTCCCACTGTTGGGGCTTTTCTAGGACCGCAAACCCCTCAGACCATCCTCAGTATTACCTCCTGGGCAGCTGATGCTGCCTCTGAGAACTTCTTTCCTGTTTGCCTGAGAAACTCTCATCCCGGCACTTTTCTTATACAATAAGGTTCGACAGTCCTTGGAAAGGATTCAATGACCTGTTCAAGCAGAACCTCATACCCTTGGGGAGCTGAGTTCTGTACCCCAGGGAGAAAGTGGAGCCATCATCTCCTAGAAACACAGCTCCATTGGGACCTTAACACTCTCCCTTCCCCAGGAACATTCATCCATTGAAGATGAGGTCAGCTTCCCCAAGAATGGACCAAAGGGCTCCCTCATTCTGCAGCACAAAAACCTGCAAATCCATTCTCTAAGCGCATTTTCTATAAGTGAGCATGATTACTTTCATAATGGAAAAAACAACCACCTGCATTCTTCAGGTCTTTTTTTTATTAGTACATGTTTGTAGTAAATAAAGCTTACATTCCCTGTGGAGCATTGGCACATGTACATAATTCATCTTAATTACTTTTTCTACCCCTTTCCCTTTCTCCTCCCCTCCATCCACCTCCTGAGTCCCTTCCTTTTTCATTTGTACACGTTTGCAGTACATAATGTTCACAGTACTTGTGTCGAGTTGGCACACGTATATAGCGTATCCTAATTCCCCTTTTTATCCCCTTTCTCTCCTCTCCCTCTATCTCTTGATCCCCTTTGAGAAACCTCTAGCTCCCTATTTGCTATCATCTATCTTTTTATTTTGCTTTGTTTGTACTTTGGGTTTCTCATATAAGAGAAACCATGCAATATTTAAACTTGTGTGCCTGATTTATTTCACTTAATATTATGGTCTCAAGGTGCATCCACTTTCTTACAAATGACTCAAGTTTATCCTCCTTTATGGTAGAGTAGTACCCATTGTGTGCAAGTACCACATTTTTTTTAGTCATTCATCTGTTGATGGACATTTGGACTGCTTGTAAGATTTAGTTATTATGAATTGTCCTGCTATAAACATGGGTATGCATGTATCACTGTAATAGAATGTCTTTTACTATTTCAGGAAGGAACTTCGAAGAGGAATAGCTGAGATAAATGGAGTTTCTAATTTTAACTTTTTTTTTTTTTGGTACCGGGGATCGAGCTCCGGTCCTTGCACTTGTGCAGCAGGCGGTGAAACCACCGAGCTAAATCCCCAGCCCTGGTTTTAAGTTTTTGAAGAATCTCCATACAGATTTCCATAATTGTTGTACTAGTTTAAAGTCTCACCAACAATGTAGAAGTGTTCCTTTTTCCCTGAAACCTCACTAGCGTTAATTATTTGATTTCTTGATGATGATGGCCATTCTCTTTGGGCTAAGATGGAATCTCAGTGGTTTGTTTTTTGGGGCTTTTTTTGGTACCAGGGATTGAACTCGGATCCTTGCGCTTGCAAGGCAAGCGCAAGCGACGGAACCTCTGAGCTAAAGCCCCGGCCTGTTGTTCTTTTTTAAATTTACATTTCTCGAATGGCCAGCAATTGAGCATTTCTTCGTGTATTTATTGGCCACTCACACCTCTTCTTCTGTGAAGTGTCTGATAATTTTTCTTGCCCATTTTTTGATTGGGTCTTTATTTTTAATTGGTGAAAAGCAAGGCCATGTGGTTTACAAATGAGACACATTCTCAATTAAAACGAGCAGTTTCTAGTGTCTGAACATTTTGGTGGAGCTGTAGGCTGACAACCATTTTGCCATGGTTATCTTAAGGATAATTGCGTAGGGAAGATTTCTACCCCAGAAGAGAGCCCAGAACTATGACAAGATGTGGCGATCACTCCCAGCTCTTTCTCTTTGCTGACCTGGCTTTGGGCCTCTGGTTCCTTTTCTGCCAGACGGAAGAATTTTGCAGCCTCCGCCCCTGCCTGCCTGCTGGGTGCAGTCAGAATCTGATGAGAAGAAACTGCTGTAAGTGCATCTGAGGCACCATAGTGGGGCCTTGACCTCAGGTGGCCCTGGGGTGGGGGAGACTGGCGGGATCTCCCTAGATGCTGGTGGTTCTGTCAAGCAGTGTATGTACCTGCTGAAAGCTCCAGGTGCCCCGGAGCATGGCAGGAGGCCAGCCTGGCCATGATTTTCTTTCTGGTGTTACTGAGAGATTCTGCCCAATGGGACAGTGAGACCGAGCTATTGTCCACTTCGAGGACACACTTCCTGCATAGGAGTCATTGTGGTAACCTCATCACAGGGACCTTCATCCCTCAGCTGGTGCCTTAGGCCCATGCTCAGGCTGCAGAGTGACATAGCCTGCTGACAGCCATAGAAACCCTCATCCTCCTGCTACACGGAGACTGCACAATCTGTCCCTGCTCTTTCTCAGTGACGGAGAGCATGCATGTCTTCCTGGCTCAGCAAGAAGTATAGCAAGCTCTGTTTCTGAATTGTGGGTGATTGGCTCCTAGAGAGCTGCTTCCACTAAACCTTGCTTTAGAGGTGATGTCATAAGTTTACGAGAAGGTGAGAAGAGAAAGCATTTCCACTCTCACAGCTTCCTGCAAATTTAAGACAACTTCACAGTCCAGAATCCACTGGGCATGGTTCAGGAACTTCCCCTCAAGCCATTTACATGAACACATGACCATGCAACTTCTCACCAATTGACAGCTGGGACTGTTTCCTTCCCAACATTAAAACTCTCACTTCAAAACCACTGCCTTCCTATGTCCCTCAGTCTATAATTATTGTGCTGTGATCCTTACTCAACTGTAATCAAGCTCCTGCACAGACAGACCCATTTTAAACATCTGTTTTCTTCTACAAGCTTGGCAGTGTTAACTCTTATGTATAGCTTTTTGATGCATTTCAAGTTATTGTTATTATTATTACTTTGCACATGGTCTGAGGAAAGAATCCAAAATCAGTCCTCCTCTTTTGCTGTTTTTGATTTTTGAGACAGTCTCACTATTAGTTCAGGCTGGCTTGGAACTCACCATATACCCTAGGCCAGGCTCCAACTTTTGACCCTCCTGCCTCAGCCTACCAAGTGCTGGGATTATTACAGAAGCGTGCCGCCACACATGGCACATTCTTTTGCATATGGATATTCACTTGACCCAGCCCCATGTGTTTTGTTTTTTTTTTGGTACCAGGGATTGAACTTGGGACCTTGTGCTTGCATGGTAGGTGCCAGAACCACTGAGCTAAATCCCTGGCCCCTTAGCCCCATGTGTTTTAAAAACATGATTCTTTCCCTTGCTGAACTGTTTTGGCATCCTTGAAAAAAAAAATCAATTAACCATATATGTAAAGGTTTATGTCTATACTCTCAATTCTAGTCCCTTGATCTGTATTTCTGTCCTTATACAAGTAACACACTGTTTTGATTACTGTAGTTTTGGTATAAGTTTTGAAATTGGGACATGTGAGTCCTATGAACTTGTTCCTTTTCAAGACAGTTTTGGATTCTCTGAATTTCTTGCATTTCTATAGGAATTTTAGTATCAGATGGTCAATTGCTGAAAAAAATTTCGCTCATATTTTGATGAGAATTTTGTTAGATAGGAAGAGTGTGGCCATTGTAACAATATTAAGTTATTCAATCCACAAACACGATATTTTTGTATGCATATAGAGCTTTCATTTGTTTCAATAGTATTTTGTAGTTTTCAGTGTGTAACTTTCACTTCTTTTGTTAAATTTACTTCTAAACATTTTCCCCTTTTTGATAGTATGATAAATTGAATTGTTTCTTACTTTCATTTTTTGGTTTTTCATTGTTAGCATATTGAAATATAATTGGCTTTTGTATGATCCCACAACATTTTAAAGTTTATGTTTTTCCTCTAAATCAAGAATTATTATTTCTAAGAAACATTTTCTCAGTCTAAAGGCAAGAGATGATTTGAGGGTTGCCCTGTACCATCCAAGGCCTGCTGCTGTCCTTGAGAGAAAACAGAAAAAACAATTTTGGGTGTCTGGAATTGAGATGTGTCTCATTTAGTCCTTAAGATAAGGTTGGCTTTACAGAAAGTCCTGAACTTAAAAGATGTCTGAGAGGTCATCCCTGAGTGCAGAAAACAGATCAAGGAGTAGTACGAATGGGTTACAGAATGAAATATTCACCTCAAATTGCAGCAGTACAGTGATTGCAGGATACAAGGATGCTTAAACTAAAAATAACTCTCCCAGGGGAAATGGGTATATACATTTGACTACCAACTTTAGCATTGGTTGTAAAATTTAGGGCTTAATGAATCTTGGGAACATCCAGCCTGTGCCTTTGAAGATAAGATAAGAAAACAGTCCAGAAAGAGGATGTGAAAAAGCAAAGCATTTAAAAAACAAATTACCTAAGTCCTCACCATTATGAAACCTTGGGAAAGGTTTCTCAGCTCCCATCAACCTTAGCCCTTCATCTGTAAAAGGGAGGAAATGACGCCTACCTTGGAGGGTGGTTGTAAGGAATTGGGTATTCAGTTAGTTGAGTCTTCCTAGGTCCCGTGTACCAGGCACTGCACTGGGTGCTGGGGTTATGAGAATAAGAGACACAGTCCATGGCCACAAGAAGAGTAGATTCAGAATGAGGGTTAAATGAGATAGATCGTCAAGAAAGTGCAAGGACTCCAGTTGTGTTGCTTGGGCTCATTGTGTTTGTACCTTGTAAAGACAAGTTGTGTTTCCCAGTGCTCTGTTGCACTCATGTTTAATCCTGAGTGCTCTGCCCAGTGCCTGAGAGAGCTACATCTCCAGCTCTTATTTTTAGACAGTTTCACTAAATTGCTGGTGCTGAGCAACTTGCAACCTCCCTGACTCCGCCTCGCAGAGTGCTGAGATTACAGGAATGTGCCACCACACCAGGCATGTAGTCTCTTAATAAGTGTTGAAACAAATACATTTTCTTCTTACTCCAAATCAAAAGAGGTCTTAAAACACACAAGGGAAGAACAGGCTTGATGGAGTGAGGCGGCAGAGCATCTCTGGAGGAGGAGATGGTCAACAGGAAGCCAGGTCTTGTTCCCAGGTCTTGTATCAGTTGATCCAGTGTTTATTTAATTTTTTAAAAAATGAAGTCAACTTCTTGGTAGAACATTTTTAGTCGCATCCACATGTGAATATCTTCTCCCACCAAATAAATCAGTTTAGCTAAGAAGATTAAGTTTTAAAATAGAAATAAATACAATTTACATCAATACTACTCTGAGAGACAAATAAAGAAAATTCTCTACATACCACAAGCTGGAGCCTGACCAAACTGGAGTGATAAGAACAGTGAGGATCATTTGATGACAAGGATAAGAGGTAACTTCAGGCCTAGGAACAGGAGCCCAGGCCCCTGGGCCCCACTGTAGATTTCCTCGTGGCCAGCACCCCATTCTGCCTGCTGGGTCCACAGTAGTCAGAGGTCTGCAGCCCTGCTGGGAGGGTCAGGGAGAGTGGGAACTGGGGAGGGACTGTGGGAACAGCTCATAACCTCGAGCCAAGTGCCAGGCATTAAACAGAGCTCACCAGGTTGCTAAACTCTAGAACCAGCCTTCTCTAGACTATCGATGGATGGATGGATGCAAAAAGGAGCTGGTGTTGAAACAATACTCAAGTAGAAATCTAGAGGATAGGATTCCAAATTCACCTCTGCTTCTCACTGGCTGTATGACCATGACTCAGTCATTTCAACTCTCCGAATATCCATTTCTTCACTTGTTAAAGGAGAAGTTGGACCTAGATTAGGCACAGTAAATACCTAAGAGGACTGGCCTTTTACTATGGCTTGTCTGTGGCAGACATTGCTGATCGATCGCTCTCCATTTTTCATCCCAACCAATTGAGACTCCTTCACAGACCACTGCTGCATAGAACCAACTCTAGTCATCTGTGATGGCACTGCAAGGTACGATTTATTTACCACCCTTAACCAGATAGCTTCATAAGGCCATGGTGCCCTGGACTTGTGTGATTCTAAATCACTTTCTGTAGGTTTCTTCCACTACTGTTGATGTAAGATGGAAAACTGATGATTCCCTAAAGTCAAAAAATAGTCATGGTGGCTGCAGGTAAGTATGAGCTCTGTGGACACTTCACACAGATGCTGAAGGGAGGGAGCTCATACTGAGCTTGGTCAGAAATGGTCATGGCAGAAGTTGAATAGGAGGGGAGCCATGGAGAAGAATTTTAAAATTTTTCCCTTTTTAAATAAAACTTTAACTTGTGTTTCTTTGCCCGGGGTCATTCTATTCCATTAAAGAATCATTAGGGGAGTGTTGCTAGGAAATTAACAGCTGTTAGTCCAGACAGAAATGTGTCATTCATACAACGCAAACAGAGAAGATCTTGAAGCATGTGAAACTGGGTCTCTGTCCAATTCTATTCAAGGAAACACAATGCAGAGCTTTTCATACACAGTCAAGGTGGAGAGTCTTTCCCAAGGTGATCTAATTTCCAGGGTCGGTGACCTGGAGCGCTGCCCCTGGATCTCACTCCATTGCCCAGCTTGTCATGGCTTTCCCTCACAGCTGTTATCTGGCTTCTGACCTGAAACTGGCTGCTGGATGGCTGGGACCAGCTGAGTGAGGAGGAAGATGACAACTTTTTAGAGAGGAGCCTGGGAAGCTAGCTCAACGCCCTCCCCAAATTCAGCCTTTGTGAGCTGGAGCTCTTGGGAAGTCCCTGGCCATCTCTCGAGAGCCACATCCCCCTGAGCTTCTCCTCACCCTCCCTCTGTGCATTGCTTGCTTCACAGCCTCACCACCAACCTCCACTGTGAGTGATGATTTCTGTGTTCTGGCTCTCCCTTCTCTGTCAGGGAAGCTCTATGAAAGCGTGGCTTCCTGTCTGTTTTCTTCACAGCTGTTTCTTTGGTACCTGACACAGTCTCTGAAACGTAATGGGTACCCAGTAAGAATTTGTTAAATGACCAAATCCACTCATCTATTCAATATTTTATTTGCCTAGATAAGGATAAGCACTTTTACTGAGTACCTTCAGAATGCCTGGAATTATTCCCCAGCTTTGGGATTGGGGTGGGGGTGGGGTTCAAAAGGGAAGGAAATTCCCTTGAAAGATTGTAGGAAAGGACAAAGAAATGATGTCTTCCTTTGTGTGTCACTTTATAGTTTATCGATTGCTTTCATGTTGTTTCTTTGTGCTTCAAATCAGCTTTCTGAGGTAAGTATCCTTATCTCGGTTTTTCAGAGGAAGAAATGTGGTTCCAAGAAAGTAGCTTACCCAAACCCACATAACCCCTAAGTGGTAAAGCCCAGATCTTTACAGAATATACAAATGTCATCATTAGCACCTGACCACTGGCCACAGACCCCACCCCGCCCCCATCTCTCTAGGCAGCTGCTCTGCAGAGAGGCAAAGCTGTTTTAGCAATCATGGCATTACAGCAGTCTCTTGGGGACTAGAATATCCTGTGAGTGGTGCAAGCTTTTTTTTTTTTTGTCTTTGTAATCTCTATTCCTATAAACCATAAAGAGCAGGCTAAATTCATCTTGCCCACAGGATGGAGAACACGCATGAAGAAGAGGCATTCAAGTTTGGGATCAGATTTCCCAAACTGCTAAGGTTTTGCCACCTCCCAGAATGTCCTCATCATGAGTTAGTGATCTCATTTCCAGGGAATTCCCACTTTGCACTGCGAGTATAAATCAAATTGTTTCTGGTCAAGTTTAGGCTTAGAGATTCTTTGTGATTTTCACTCTTTTCTCAGACCCTCTGAATTTAGCTCCATACCCTCCAAACCAGTAGCTGGAAACCCTCTGAAGTTCTTGTGTCTGAGCAATGGAGAACCCACAGATCCCAGCCCTCCTTTCCTAGCAGTCAGGACCCTTCCTGTATGTTAGCTGTCCTGACATCTCTGAAAGAAGCTTAACTTAGTTCTGAGAAAGCGCCTGCTTATCTTTGTCTATCACAGGATTATTGGAGGTCTGGGGAGTGGTGCCAGCCTGCATGAAACAGCAGGGTGAGCAGATGAGTGGGTTTCACTACAAATAAATATTTTTCAAATGAATATTTAAATAATAAAATGGAGTTCCTACTATATCTTATTTGTATTAATTTATTTTTTCTACTGCTCACAAAATGTGAAAATAATCTTGAAACTGTTTTGGTTAATTTCTTTTGCTAGACACTCAGGCAAAAAATGTGTCTGTGCTTTCAAAAGGCATAGCTATTTCCTCTGACCCTTATAAAACATGCTTCTCTTTAAACTTGATAAGGACAGATCAACAGCATATTCCAAATATAATCATGTCTCTTCATCCCAGCCTGGGACCCAAAGCCCCAAAGCCAGGGAGGTTGAGGAAGCGACAGCAGGATGCACAATTCTATGTCACAGCTTCCTCAAATTTAAAAAGCAAGAACTGGAGACAAAAGAGAGCATGAAAAAAAAGAGAGAGGGTCAGCATGAAAATCATTTAGGGTAAAGTGAAGGATGGATATAAAAAGTAGGAGATAGTATCCTTGTCCTTTAAATCATAGTGCCAATCCAGGTATACAGAACATATGAAAACGAGACCACTGGAAAGTATCAGGCAAGTGTCTCTGTATAAAATGTAGCTGCACAGACAGAGCAGAGGGGATGTAACTATGGGAGGGAAAGGAGACCCCGGCCCGTGGTCAGGTTTCCGCTACACTGTTTCTTCTGTTCATGGAGGAAATCTCCTCTACCTACAAGAAGAAAGACTTCATTTATTTTTTTCTGATTTTTTTGTTCCCTAAAATGTTGTCATAGATTTTCAGCAAGAGCAGAATATCATACACGAGTTAGAAGAGTGAGGAATAGAGATTCCCCTGGATAACAAAGAAATAGAGGGAAATTCCATTATAGATGATCAGGGAAACAACAGAAGATACAGTCAGCGGGGTCTGACGATGATTTGAGTGTTTGTGTCTCCTCAAATCCACATGTTGAATCCTATCGCCCTAAGTGGTGGTATCAGAGGCAGGACTGTGGCAAGAGATTAGGTCCTTTAGACAGAGTCCTAATGAATGGGACTAGTGCCTTATGAGAGACCAGAGAGACCTCCTGCCCCTTCCACCATGCCAGGAAATAGCAAGAAGGCATGTGTGTGACAGAAAATGGGCCCTCACCAGGTCCTGGCTCTGCCTTAATCTTGGACTGCCAGCCTCCAGTACAACGAGGAATAAAAATCTCTTGCTTCAGTTTGTAATAGCCAAAGCTTGGAAACAGTCCAAGTGCCCATCAACTAGAAACTGGATAAAGAAGATGTGGTTTTTTTATAAAATGGAGTACTACTCAGCCATAAAGAATGAGAAACTAGAGACATTTATAGCTAAATGG